GAAGGGGGAAATGGAGGTTAAGGTCACTAATGGAGGGGGAAATGCAGGTTAAGGTCACTAATGGAGGGGGAAATGGAGGTTAAGGTCACTAATGAAGGGGGAAATGGAGGTGAAGGTCATTAATGGAGGGTGAAATGCAGGTTATGGTCACTAATGGAGGGGGAAATGCAGGTTAAGGTCACTAATGAAGGGGGAAATGGAGGTTAAGGTCACTAATGGAGGGGGAAATGCAGGTTAAGGTCACTAATGGAGGGGGAAATGCAGGTTAAGGTCACTAATAAAGTGGGAAATGGAGGTTAAGGTCACTAATGGAGGGGGAAATGCAGGTTGAGGTCACTAATGGAGGGGGAAATGCAGGTTAAGGTCACTAATGAAGGGGGAAATGGAGGTTAAGGTCACTAATGGAGGGGGAAATGCAGGTTAAGGTCACTAATGGAGGGGGAAATGCAGGTTAAGGTCACTAATAAAGGGGGAAATGGAGGTTAAGGTCACTAATGAATGGGGAAATGCAGGTTAAGGTCACTAATGAAGGGGGAAATGGAGGTTAAGGTCACTAATGGAGGGGGAAATGCAGGTTAAGGTCACTAATGGAGGGGGAAATGCCGGTTAAGGTCACTAATAAAGTGGGAAATGGAGGTTAAGGTCACTAATGGAGGGTGAAATGCAGGTTAAGGTCACTAATGGAAGGTGAAATGCAGGTTAAGGTCACTAATGGAGGGGGAAATGCAGGTTAAGGTCACTAATGGAGGGTGAAATGCAGGTAAAGGTCACTAATGGAGGGGGAAATGCAGGTTAAGGTCACTAATGGAGGGGGAAATGCAGGTTAAGGTCACTAATGGAGGGGGAAATGCAGGTTAAGGTCACTAATAAAGGGGGAAATGGAGGTTAAGGTCACTAATAAAGGGGAAAATGCAGGTTAAGGTCACTAATAAAGGGGGAAATGAAGGTTAAGGTCACTAATGGAGGGTGAAATGCAGGTTATGGTCACTAATGAAGGGGGAAATGGAGGTTAAGGTCACTAATGAAGGGGGAAATGGAGGTGAAGGTCATTAATGGAGGGGGAAATGCAGGTTAAGGTCACTAATGGAGGGGAAAATGAAGGTTAAGGTCACTAATGAGAGGAAAAACAAGTTCCAGAATAAACAAATATTGCTTACTTATAAGCAAATATTTGTTATTACAAATAAATAACTGAGAAAGAATAATAGGTAACTAAGAAAGAATGAAAGGTGAGAAATATAAACAATGGTTCAATGAATAAAGTTTTTTCAATTTGTTTCCATGAGTCCATGAGAATTATGGGTTCTTGGGGGGGGGGTGATAGGTAATGGGGTAATGGGTACAGGGGTGATGGGGTAAGTTCACAGACCCCTTACCCATCAACCCCGCGAATCATTTCTAACTTCACCTCACCTAACCTAACTTAGACTAACCTTGCCTGACCTATCCTAACCTAACTATCGACTAGGCGTAGAAAATGTGAATCTTTTGAGCCGCTATGTACGTTTATAGTACCTACATTTATGTACTGTGTACGTCCCAGAGAACAGGGGAAAGATTCACGAAAGCACTTACGAACGTGTACATCTTTTGTCAATCTTTGACGGCTTTGGTTACTTTTATTAAACAGTTTACAAGCATGAAAACTTCCCATTCAGCTGTTGTTATTGTTATAAACAGCCTCCTGGTGCTTCGGAGCTCATTAACTGTTTAATAATTGGAAACAAAGCCGCCAAGGATTGAGAAAAGATGCACAGATTCGTAAGTGCTTTCGTGAATCTGGCCCCAGATCCACATCACTGCCATCTTAGACGGAACATCTTGGACACAAAGAGTAATCCCCTGAGGTTGGTCACTGCCAAGAGTGAAAAGTACCCTGGTATATTTGCCTAAGGTGACTCAACCTTGTCACAATATATTTGAAAATACAACATATTAAAAATTGTTTAGGATAGTGGGTTAGAAATAGCCTAAGCTACTTTATCCCTTCGAGATGTAATTTTTCTTGTCTCAATAAACATACTTGAACGTGAATTTGTTTAGGATTATATATAAAAATAGACATGGCATATGGCTTCATTCTCTAGAAATATGTAGTGCATATTGCATCCCATCCTACTGAAATGGACAATCAGTAAATCATTTTTTTAGGCGATGAGTCACAATAACGTGGCTGAAGTATGTTGAAACGTCGTCGTCCCTTCAATTTCTAGTGTGTGGTCGGGTCAACATTTTTTGTACTTTGTAATTTTGTTCAGTGTGTGGAGCAATTAAGCTAATCCCCGAAGTTTAATAACCCCAGTCAAGTACAGAACATACATGTGCCGTACTAGACCCAAAATAGCCTTAAACTAGGTCGAGGATTGCTAGTAGATGTTAGGTTAATTTAGGTCGCGTATTCACATTGCTGTTAAAAAAAAAGTTTCCTGTTTGTACTAATTGAGAAACACGAAAGGGAACTTTCTGGGGGTCAATTATTATATATAGATACTTTAGACTAAATAGTTACTTTAAGTACTTTTTGTTTTAGGAGGATAAGGTGCCATATTTAACAGTGTTGTAGAAAAAAATGTACAGAAAGAAAACGAGAAGAAAGTTTCAAGTGGAAATGGTGATATTGGCGGAGTCATTTATAAAATACATCACCAAAATAAGGTATTGAGGGAGGACTTTGAAAAATAGATCTTGTACCCAGCGGTACCCGGGTCTCTGTATTTTATATCTCTCTATTCCTCTTTCATTATCCCTCCATTAATCCCATCCATTCTCCCTTCCTCCTGTTCTCCCTTCTTCCCTCCTACTCTCTCTCCTTCCCTCCAATTTTACCTCATTTCTTGCCTCTCCACCATTCTCCATCCTTCTCTCACCCATTCTCCTTCCATCACCCATTCATTCATTCTCTTTCCATCCTAATTTCCCTGCCTAACTCCTTTCCTCCCTCCTCTTCTCCCTCTCTCTCTACCTTTGTCTCCTCCAGATAACATGATCCATTGACGTTCTGTTAAAGAAGTAGAGGAATAACAACTACAACCTCAAACCAAAACATAGATATCATCAGGGAGAAGCGCCAAGCCAGTATTACTATATAGCACTGGGAAGAGGTCCAACACCCACACATCGTGTCAGCAAGGCGGACAGCCCGCCTGCTTTCATACCTCTCACTGTATTTCCCACTTCTATACTTCCCTTCACCTATGCCTCTCCTTCCTCTTCACTCCAAAAAAAAAGGGGGGGGGGGGGAAGGGGTCAGGATAAGAATTTGGGATGGGACGGGGGGAAAAAGGAATGGGGCCCAACCGCTTGAACGGTCGCGGATTGAACGCCGACCTGCATGAAGCGAGACCATCGCTCTACTGTCCAGCCCAAGTGGTTGGGCACTGACATTATCAGGCTTGATGTCAGTGCCCAACCACTTTAGGGTCCAGGACGGACCCTAAATTATGTGGGTTGATTGATTGATACAGATTATGCCACACAAGAGTTGGCACGGGCATGAATAGCCCGTAAGTGAGTTGTGGTTGTTGATCATCATATCTTCAGCCGCGTTGAGGATATCCACCAGGGCTATGAGGTGGGCTCGAACCTTCGACCCAGGCATTGCCAATCGCATCTTCTACCATTAGACCACCGATGGTATGATTTCTGAGTGTTTCTTCCCGTTATTGTGACTCATCGTCTGCATAGATATCATCATACACTATAAATCATAGATATCATCATACACTATAAATCATAGATATCATCATACACTATAAATCAAAGAAGACAACGAAGCCTTCGAACATTGTATATGGTAAGAGAGATTATATTTAAAAAGACATGGTTATCTTGAGATGATTTCGGGGCTTTTAGTGTCCCCGCGGCCCGGTCCTCGACCAAGCCTCCACTCCCAGGAAGCAGCCCGTGACAGCTGACTAACTCCCAAGTACCTATTTACTGCGAAGTAACGGGGGCATCAGGGTGAAAGAAACTCTGCCCATTGTCTCTCGCCGGTGACTGGGATCGAACCCGGGACCACAGGATCACGCCTCCAGTGTTCTGTCCGCTTAGCCACCGGCTCCCCACTGACAGCCGACTACAGGAGCCGGTCGGCCGAGCGGACAGCACGCTGGACTTATGATCCTGTGGTCCTGGGTTCGATCCCAGGCGCCGGCGAGAAACAATGGGCAGAGTTTCTTTCACCCTATGCCCCTGTTACCTAGCAGTAAAATAGGTACCTGGGTGTTAGTCAGCTGTCACGGGCTGCTTCCTGGGGGTGGAGGCCTGGTCGAGGACCGGGCCTCGGGGACACTAAAGCCCCGAAATCATCTCAAGATAACATCAAGATAACAGCCACTGTCTGCTGGATTTTTATTTTGTTTTATTTAGTGATTAGTTTATGAGTTCTTGGAATATGATTATCATTCAAGATGAATTAAATTTGGATTTTAGGTGTTTAAACATCAAATGACACCTCCATCGCTAATCCTAAGACACATGTATTTGTAACGGTGATATGAATAGCAAAAGATGAGAATGATGAACCAATAATACGATTGTCTATCATCGATTGATTGATTGATGAAGATTAAGGTACCCAAGAGGTGGCACGGGCATGAATTAACCCCGTGTAAGCATCTCTCTAACATCAACTGTGCTCTGATTATAGTATTTCCTCTCCCTCTACAGTACACAGTTCCCCATTCCATCCTACAAGGGGCCCAAGCATCCCACAGGGACTCCCAGCATCCCACAGGGACCCCCAGCATCCCACAGGGACCCCCAGCATCCCAGCATCCCACAGTAGTGAGTAGGGGATAAGCCGGGGAGAGAGACGAGATGCCCGTCAACACGTTGTCAAACTCGTCCAGTAAAACTCACCATTTCAAGGAAGGATACTTCCTGCATTTACGTGTCTGTAAACTAAACTTAGTTTGCATTTTTTACGACTTTTCCCGATTCTTGCTCACACCTTTTCGTGCTAAATTTACGAAGCACATTCCGTGGCTTTGAAAATTCAGTTCTCAGAAAGTATTGACCAGATACCAGAAAGTATTGACCAGATACCAGAAAGTATTGACCAGATACCAGAAAGTATTGACCAGATACCAGAAAGTATTGACCAGATACCAGAAAGTATTGACCAGATACCAGAAGGTATTGACCAGATACCAGAAAGTATTGACCAGATACCAGAAGGTATTGACCAGTTACCAGAAAGTATTGACCAGAAAGTATTGACCAGATACCAAAAATATTGACCAGGTAAATATATACAGATATTGACCAGATTCAGAAATGTTATATATATTCAGAAAGTATTGACCAGATAGACATATACAACAAGAATACAGAGAGAGAGGTTAACCTATAATTATCTATAAATATATCGCAAAACTTTGCTGTGAATTATAGGGAAGTTAAACTCTAATAAAAAGGAGAAATTACACGCATACGCGGAAGATGGCGGAATGCCTGCGTTTATGGAGAATTAGCCTCGATTACCAGCACACACATGGGTGCCTGCTCCCTCAGCGACCTCTGGGCCGTTACTGATGCTATATATGTTGTCTGGATAAAAGAATTACTAATCGGGTTAAACATTTAGGAGGATTACAAGTTCGATACCGGATTACAGACACGAATTTTTTTATTCAAAGTTCTTTTTTTTTCCAAAAAGTTCCCATATAATTTGTTTGAGTGTTGCATTAACAGGTCAGTTTTTTTTTTTTTTACAAACACGTTGGCATCACCTGAGATGTTAATGTAACTTGAATTTAATCGTCTGGAATTAAAAAGTGGTTAAATTCAGAGTGTTTTTGTATGTTTGTATTTTAAAGTCCAGGAACGCATGTTGGATCCCATTTAATTGCCTCTACCTTTTTTTTTTTTATCGTAGATACATAATGTTCTTGTAATTTCAGTGTACAAAGTTAGATGATACTAACCTGCTCTTCCAGTGCAGAACAGTGAAAATATATCCCCCTCCTATTCTCTAACCTATAAGACTCGAGGTCAAGGCTCGGATAATTAAAGGTTCCGGGGATCAATAATGCTCTAAATTATTCTATCTGCGTCTCGTAATACATGTGTTTAACGAAGGAACACAAAAAAACTTAATTAACTTTAATAAGCACCAACTCTCTCTCTTTTTAAACTATGCAAAGGAATTTTACGTAGAACATAACACTAGATAACGAAGCTGTTCGTTCAGGGTTGTGGTGGTGACCTTGCTTAGTGAAGATGGATGTGGTCTTCAGCTGGCACTCCTGTTGGCACTGTATCCTCTGTGGCACTGTGTATCTTCTGCGGCACTGTATCCACTGTGTCACGACATGTTTTTGGCACTGTTTCAACTTTGGTACTGTGTTTTCTGTGGCATTGTAAGCTCTAGACTGTGGCAGTGGATCTAATAATCAGTTTTTCTTGTGGCAATATATCTACTGTGACACTGTGTTCACTGTTTTGTGTCTGTTCTGTGGCACTGTGTCCACAGTAACATTGTGTGGCCTCTGTTGTATTGTATCCGTTGTTCTATAGCTCTGTTCTGTGGCACTGTGTCCACAGTAACATTGTGTGGCCTCTGTTGTATTGAATCCGTTGTTCTATAGCTCTGTTATGTGGCACTGTATCTCTCTGCTCTGCGTCTCTCTTGTGTATTTACTGCCCTGTATCTCTTTCGTGTATCTACTGTTCTACGTCTCTTTTCTGTATCTACTGTTGTTTCTTTTTTAATGGTCTCTGTTATGCTTATCATTCCTGTGTATAAGACACCTAACCTCCATAGGAGTAATTTCCCATTTTATTCAGATTTTTGACTTTTTTTTCGTTTACGAAACAGATATATAAAGTCAAATGACTCAGCGCTTTCTCCTCTTTTTTTATAATTATTATCAATCTTAAAAGCTTTACTTTTTAATGTTTTGTTAAAACACAGTAAGCAATAGAGAGTCAAGAACTACAATTAATGTGTTTATGTCTTTGTTAGATAGGAAGATAAAGACAATATAACAGACTTTTTGTGACTCAACCTTGAAGTGGGCTGTTCGTACCACAACAGATCTATGCTTGCTGTTGTGTTGTGTACTTGGGTGTTGCTAGTTGTGTTGTGTACGTGGGTGTTGCTAGTTGTGTTGTGTACGTAGGTGTTGCTAGTTGTGTTGTGTACGTGGGTGTTGCTAGTTGTGTTGTGTACATGGGTGTTGCTAGTTGTGTTGTGTACGTGGGTGTTGCTAGTTGTGTTGTGTACGTGGGTGTTGCTAGTTGTGTTGTGTACGTAGGTGTTGCTAGTTGTGTTGTGTACGTGGGTGTTGCTAGTTGTGTTGTGTACGTGGGTGTTGCTAGTTGTGTTGTGTACGTGGGTGTTGCTAGTTGTGTTGTGTACTTGGGTGTTGCTAGTTGTGTTGTGTACGTGGGTGTTGCTAGTTGTGGTGTGTACATGGGTGTTGCTAGTTGTGGTGTGTACATGGGTGTTGCTAGTTGTGTTGTGTACATGGGTGTTGCTAGTTGTGGTGTGTAACAAAAAACTAAAGTTAGAGACATATTAAAGTTAGACAGGTAAACAAAATATAAAAGGTAGACTTTTATATTCTTAAAAGTAGACTGATGGCTGTTGTGTATGTGTACTCAACTAGTTGTATTCACCTAGTTGTGCTTGCGGGGGTTGAGCTCGGGCTCTTTGGTCTCGCCTCTCAACTGTCAATCAACTGAGTTACAGGTTCCTGAGCCTACTGGGCACTATCATATCGACATTTAAATCTGTGTATGGAGTCAGCCTTCACCACATCTCTGCCTAATGCATTCCACTTGTTAATTACTTTGACACGGAAAAAGTTCTTTCTAACGTCCCTGTATCTCATTTTGGTAACCAGTCTCTATCTGTGTCCCTTTGTTCGCGTATAAGCCGAGTTAAAATATTTATCCTTATCCACCCTGACAATTTCTCTGAGAAATTTGTAGGTAGTTATCATGTCTCCTCATACTCTTCTGTCTTCCAGTGACGTTAGGTGCATTTCACGCAGCCTTTCCTCCTAACTCATGCCTCTTAGTTCATGGACTAGTCTAGTAGCATACCTCTGAACATTTTCCAGCTTCGTCTTGTGTTTGACAAGGTACGGGCTCCATGCTGGCACAGCATACTCCAGGATTGGTCTTTCATATGCTGTGTACAAGTTCTGAATGATTCCTTACACAGGTTCCTGAAGGCTGTTCTGATGTTAGTCAGTCTCGCGTATGCCGCAGATGTTATTCTTTTTATGTGGGCTTCAGGAGATGGGTTTGGTATGATATCAACTCCATCATCTTTCTCTCTGTCCGTTTCACGAAGGACTTCATTTCCCATTCGGTATCCTATGTCTGGCCTCCTGTTTCTACCGCCTAGTTTAATGACTTTGCATTTACTCGGGTTGAACTTCAACAGCCATTTGTTGGACCATTTATTCAGTCTGTCTAGGTCATCTTGTAGTTTCCTATTATCATCCTCTGTTTTAATTCATCTCATAATTTTTGCATCATCAGCAAACAATGAGAAGAACGATTCTATACCCTCTGGGAGATCATTTACATATATCAAAAATAGTATAGGTCCAAGGACTGAACCCTGCGGGACTCCACCGGTGACGTCTCGCCAATCTGAGGCCTCACTCCTCACAGTGACTCGCTGTCTCCTGTTGCATAGGTACTCCCTTATCCAATGGAGTTCCTTCCCTTTCACTCCTGCCTGTATCTCCAGCTTTTTCACTAGCCTCTTGTGTGGTACTGTGTCAAAGGTTTTCTGGCAATCCAAAAATACGCAGTCTGCCCACCCCTCTCTTTCTTGTCTAATTTTTGTTGCCTGGTCATAGAATTCAATTAATCCTGTGAGGCAGGACTTGCCATCCCTGAACCCATGTTGATACTGTGTTACAAAGTTCTTTTGCTCCAGATGTTCCACAAGTTTTTTTCGCAGTCTTCTCCATCAGCTTGCATGGTATGCAGCTTAGGGACACTGACCTGTAGTTCAGCCCTTCCTGTCTGTCCTCCTTCTTGTATATTGGGATTACATTAGCAGTTTTCCAAATTTTTGGCAGTTCCCCTGTTACCAGTGATTTGTTATACAATATGGAGAGTGACAGGCACAGTGCTTCTGCTCCTTCCCTTAATATCCATGGGGAGATTCCATCCAGGCCTATAGCCTTTGTCACATCCAACTCTAGCAATAGCTTCCTCACATCCCCACTGGTAATCTCAAACTCTTTTAGTGGTTCCTGGTTACCTATTCCCTCTCTTATCTCTGGAACTTCCCCTTGCTCTAAAGTGAAGACCTCCTGGAATTTTTTAGTCAGTTCCTCGCACACTTCCTTGTTGTTTGTAGTGAATCTGTCTGCGCCTATCCTTAATTTCATAACCTGTTCCTTTACTGTTGTTTTTCTCCTGATGGGTCTGTGCAGCAATTTAGGTTGAGTCTTTGCCTTGCTTGCGATGTCATTTTCGTATTGCCCTTCTGCCTCTCTTCTCAACCTGACATATTCATTCCTGGCACTCTGGAATCTTTCTCTGCTCTCAAGTGTCCTGTTATTCCTATAGTTTCTCTATGCCCTTTTACTTTGCTGCTTAGCTAGCCTAAATCTCTGGTTAAATCATAGGTTTCTCATCTGCATTTCATTGTTTTCCTTTTGGATCAGGACAAACTTGTCTGCTGCCTCCTTACACTTTTGTGTGATGTAGTCTATCATGTCTTGGGCCGTCTTTCCTCTGAGCTCTGTTTCCCATGTTAAATCTGTTAGGTATTTCCTTATCTCCTCATAGTTTCCTTTTCAGAATGCCAGCCTTTTGTTTTCAGTACCCCTCCTCGAGTTCCTTAATTCTTCTTCAACCAGATATTCAAACGTCATCACACTGTGGTTGCTCATTCCTACCGGGGCCTCGAAACCGATATCCTTTATGTCGGAGTCGTTCAGAGTAAAGACTAGGTGTAGTCTCGCTGGGTTTATCGTTTCCTTTCATATTAGTGGGTTCCCTGACATGCTGGCTTAAAAAGTTTCTTGTCGCCACCTCCAAAAGTTTAGCTCTCCATGTATCCTCACCTCCATGCGGTTCCTTGTTCTCCCGGTTTATTCTTCCATGATTGAAGTCCCCCATGATGAGCAGATTGGATCTATTTTTACAAGCAGCTGCGGCTGCCCTCTCAATTATAGTGTTAACTGCCATATTGTTGTTGTCGTACTATTGACTGGGTCTTCTGTCATTGGGTGGAGAGTTAAATATCACTGCTACTGCTATT